TTGGAGCTATCTGCTGATACATAAAATATTTATATGACTAAACATTGGAGCTATCTGCTGATACATAATTTGCCTTATGAAATAAAATATGTTTTTATGATTTTTTTCAAGTGCAAGGTTATTGTTGAAAGTATCCATTCTGTTATGATATTTAAGACGCTTTGGTACATCAAACTTGATAAATATTGATAAATAAAAGCACAATTTGAAGACAATCGCTTGATGCTTTAAAAACAGCTACTTATTTGAATGATGCTATTCTCACAGTGTTGTTGCATTCTGCAAAATAAATCTCTCTGCACTAAAAAAAAAAATTTAAAAAATCCGGCTGGTTACCAATGACTTAAATGAATCAAACAATCCCCTATGGTAATCCAGTGGTGCATATCTCCAGTGGTGCATATCTCCAGTGGTCAGTTTTCACAGAGTCTTAATTAAGATATGGTTGGCAATGGCAGTTAGAGAAGGCTCTCGCCATGGAAGCGAAATGTATCCAGAGTTGAAAAGGTTGGCAGAACAATTCCAAGATTGATTGCATCAAGCGCCGCCAAGTAACACAGTTACCGGGCCTGTTGATATGAAATTGAAGTAAACTATGCCATTGAAGGGGAAGTCTGGTTGATGAGTTACTGTTTCATGCAAGCGCTGCATTCGCCCCTACAAAGTCTAAGACAACCATCCTTGAAATTGATCATAAGTGATACCTCCGTTCACAAATTTATTTTAGGACATAAGAGCATTTTTATTATTGTTCCACAAAAATGTTCCACAAGCATGTTCTAACCTATTTTTTCCTATGGTGTACAAGTATTCGAATTTTTTAGAAATGTGTAGTCTCCGCAAAAAGTCAAATTCACTTACTGGTCGATCAGACTTCCTTTGACAGAGTACCTTCCTGAACGGCAAAATTTCATAATATTACACACAGACAGACCAATTTTCAACTAGAACTGCCAAACATATCTTCATCACAATAAAAGGAAAATGTAGCGACTGGAACCAAGCACCGCCTGACCAACGCAGGTATATGTTCAAGATGCTGGAGCTTTAGTACTGTCGGTTTTGGCGCATGCTGTACTTCTTTCAGCATTACTGCACTTTGAACCTTTTTCATGTTCATTCGGATCAGTTAATTATATTTAGCCCATATATTTTTTGAATACCAATAATTAAATGGAGCAGATGTGTTCAAGGTTTTAAAACTGTATTTCTCTTTTTAAACCATAAGTAATTTCTCATTGATAAAACTGTTTTGAGTTTTCATATATCGTACATTTAATCGAAGAAAAGGTGTTCGAATAATAGTTGGGAAGGGAGAGAGGGCGGTGGGAAAATAAAATAACGACAATGTGCTATTTATAAATAACTGGAATTTATGATAAATTAAAAGAATCTTTTTTTTTTTTTTTAGATGTCACATGGTCCCAATGTATGAATGTCCTGTTTCAATCTGTCACTGTTTTGGAGTAGAAATTCACCCCATCGATGTTCTGTCCATCAGATGGAGGTTATTGTATCAGGAATGATAGTCTTATGTGCTAAAAATATGTTGAGCTGTAAGGCTGGTCTGGATGGTTCAGCGTGGGGCAGACCACTCTGCCAACCAAAAAAACATCAACACAGCTATTTATTTGTATAATGTACCTTCAACTTCAAGTGTTTGAGATCACCTTAACTCCTGTTTGACAAGTAGCACTTTGAATTTATATTATTCAAATTTAGTCATTTATTTATTTATTTATTAGCTTTTTTTTTTTTTTT